TTGAAGCTTCTGCGATCATACGCTGAAGGTCCTCATCGGTTATCTGAACCGTTAGGGAGCAAGTAGGGGTTGATTTTGCTGAAGTTTCGGCGATCATACGCTGAAGGTCCTCTTCGGTTATCTTAACAGTTTGAGGGGGGCGGATGTAGGCCCCCAAGAGTCGATAACCCTTGGCGAGCGAAATGTTTTGGGGGCACTGTAAACCCCCATGGAGTCGATAACCCTTGGCGCGCAAAATGTTTTGGGGGCACTGTAAACCCCCCGGGAGTCGATAACCCTTGGTGAGCGAAATGTTTTGGGGGCACTGTAAACCCCCAGGGAGTTGATAACCCTTGGCGCCTAAAATGTTTAGGGGGCACTGTAAACCCCCAGGGAGTCGATAACCCTTGGCGTTGAATGGCCTCCTTGGTACTCTGAACCGATCGAGGGGCGGGAAGAAGTGGATCCTGTTGAGGATCTAGTGGGACATCACGAGGAGGATCTCGTGGTGGATCCCGAGCATGGAGAGGAGGAAGTGGCAAGCCAGAGCCTCCACGAGGTGGGAGGTTGTTAGCAGTGTCACACTCCCCTGAGCAGAAGTCTCAAGGCCATCTTGCGCACATCGTGATCTTGTTTCCCTTCCCACAGACGGCGCCAAAATGATGATGCTAAAGTTAGATCACCTTAGATAGTTGAAGTAGGATGAGCTGGAAGAGCAGAGTGGATCACTGGCTCACGAGCTTGATGACCCTGAGATACCTGCGATCACAGAACACGTGAACTAGGCCGGGGGTTGGTCCGGCGGAAACCCCTCCGACGCTCAAGTCAGACGTGCGGATAGTGGAAATAGTCCAGAGAATACAGTTGATAGTATTACTCAGTCAATAGGACGTACCTTAAGGAATGAGTTCAAACCGTTATTTATAGCTTAGTTGAGATTGTCGAGCCCAAACCTTACTTGAAGGTGATTGGGCCTCGGTGATAGTGGTCTTAAATATTGGGTTTGTGGCCCATTAGATAAAGAAATTGTAGGCCCATTGGGTTGGCCCAATTAGGCATATCAGTAATAAACTCCTCGATACACTTAATATTTTTAAAATTATTTTTCATGAGGGAATCTATGAAAATAATTACCATGCTCAATTTCTAGATTCTCTAATTATATGTCTTTGGACTATCAATTAATTTTAAATTGATTATTCTATGATATCTATTTTCCACCAAATGGAGAAAATAATGTATCACTATAATCAATTCCAAATTATCCGTTAGGAGTTTTTCTAGATAATGTCTATAATTAATTATGCCCGGAGTGGAAGCGGAATTCGATAAATCTCCTTTCTCATAATCAATTATATTATCTAAAATCTATGACGATGTCCAATATAATTAATCATAGAAATACTATGGACACCTATTGAGTGTGTTCTATTTTTATGTTCTCTAGTTATATATATATATCATGGGATCCTATTAATACACAAATTAATCATCCTATATAACAAATATAGAAAAACTACGAATCATGATAAATTTATCATGTTCAACAAAGTCATCTATGTTATCTAATTATAATCCATGGTATCACATAAAAACATTTATAACCGAATATAATTCACATAGATGAACACGAACATAATAAATTAAATGCAAATTTATGCATGTCCAAATTTCATGTTGTCCAATTATATGTCATGGGTATCATATAAAAAAATTAAGCCCAAATATAATAAACATGAATAATGCATGCAATCATGCTTATAACAAATATAAGCACACATCAACCATAAAATATTAAATAAAGCAATTTAATTTTCCGCTATTATGGTTAAGTTGGGACTCCCGGATTTAGACTCCTTAAAATTAGGAAGTCCAAAAGTCCCCGTAAAATCCAGAATTCTCGAATTTTGGGCTGCCCGGAAAGCTGCGCGCTGCCTGATGTCGAGACCCCGCGCGGTTTATAATTTTGGTATTGTCCTGGAACTTCCAGCCTTGTTCTGAAATTTATATATCTATCTGGGTAACTCCGATATACGATTCGAACGGTCAAATTCTACGCCAATGATTAGGAACCTCCATAAAAAATTTCAGCTCGATCCGACGGTGGACAAGGCCGTGATAACAGAAACGGCACAGTCGCGCAAACAATTCCGAGAACAAAATCTGCTCTATTCTATCTATGTAATTTTTATCTAAAACTCCTCTAGAAAGATTACAAAAAAAAAAAATATCGTAGGCACACAATCTTCCATCAATATCTCGCGGTGGAAATTAAAACCGACAAGTAACCACTCTCGAGGCAGTGGGATTCATTCACATAAAACATAAATAAAACATTCATTACCATAATAGCGGATTTTCTATTCTGCAAAACAAAGTCAGAAATAAAACGCTACATGCAACATATGAATTTTCCGTTTCATGCAATTTTGGACAACGTGGTGAACCTCAAACAAATTAATCAAAGAAGCTCTGATACCAATTGTTGGGATGTGAAGCCCAAGATTCAATGAAAATTCGCAAGAGGTTCTAGATTAACCGGTTTTAATTTTATTGACATGCTTTGATTAGATTCGTTTAAAGCGGAATAAATCTAATCTAGCAACTTACAATTTTCGCGAGCAGATTCATTTCTATCCGCGGCGCACGAACAAGGATCCACACCAAGCCTTCAATCCTCGGAAACTGCTGTCTAGAAATTTACAGCTCTCTTCCTTCAACGATATCTCCAAGATGGTTGATAGGATTCTGAAATTCTTTAGACAGATTGTACTACTATGGGTTAGAAGCAACTGTATAAATTTCAAGCCAAACGGACAAACGGTTGATTTATGGTGAATTTCTTCGCAGGACTGCTCAGAAATTTTGGGAATAATAGTTTGCTTTAAAAACCTATAGTCTTCTATTGCATATCCCGGATTCATAATTCTTCTACAATGGTGAACATGTACTTGAAGAAATCTAAATCTATAATCGAGAAACCAAGAGAGAAAAGAAGAAGACAAAAAATATTTCTCTTCCAACGTGAAATAGGCGTGTAGCCAAAACTTATTCTTTCTCATCAACCCAATTTTTATTATATATCACAAGGAATTAGAGTCACACATAGAGAGGATTACATAGAAACAAATCCCACTCCTTATATAACTCTATTAGTCGAAAATTTCAATCCAATGGGGACTCAATTTTCGGCTATATTAATTCCAATATATAATATTGGTTGAACTTTTATTTTTCGATTAATTAGAAAATCCATTGGGATACAATAGGGACTAAAGGAGAAAATATAAATCGGGCAACTAATAATTAATTAAATCCAAAATCTTAAAAGAATTCATTTAATTAATCATTAAATAATTATTTATTTTCCACTACCAAATAATTATTGAACTCCTGTTTATATTCTCAAATATTACATTCGAGCTCCAGTCGATCATTACTTAGATTCTCCCCACATTAAGATATTTTATAACCACCAAATAATTTATTTACTGCTAAATAAATTAAATGGTTTCTTTTTATGAGTCTTACCCGCTTAACTTATTTGAGTATGCCGGATACGAAATCCACCTTGCCAGGACTTGGCATAAACAAATCTTATAAGCTACTCAAGGGTTATTATTAATCTCATATTTCAGAGATGTGGATTCCTTTTGATAATTAATTTCCACCTATTAATTCTTAATGTCTCTACCCAACGCACCGGGGGCCATTTGACTCAATATATGAATCTCTCCCATTGTGACATCAAAGTAGAGATCATCAATTAAATGTGTACGTTAATTATCTAGGGTTTAAGACTGTCAACTAGAAATAATACTGTTTCATTTATGAACAGTGATGAAATAATTATTTCACTTTGTCTGGTTCAACACATGCCGGGTGTGCTAGCACAATAAGTCAAAACAATAACTACAAAAGTAATTCGCTGTTTACTGTGATCAAGACCAATCACTTAAATATTGTGCTACAATCTTTTACCAATGGTTAGTCCATTTCCATCTAGATTGTGAACGTTTATCTTTATATTCTAAACGAACTTTCGAAATGATCTTTCTGTGAGCCGTAGCACACCATCTCGAATACTATTAGAATATTAGACTTATGCTCTTAATTAATTGACAAACAATCAATTAAATGCATTGAATACCCTAGTGCAGATTCTCATAATATGATAATAAACTATATTATTAATTCAATAATAAAATTATGTAGCTAAAAGCGAGACTTTTAGTCTACTATCTTAACACTTGAGACCCTTCTAAGAAACACTCAAAAATTAGAGAAAAAAAAAAGGAAAAGAAGAAGAAGAAGAAGAAGAAGAAGAAGAAGAAGAAGAAGAAGAAGAAGAAGAAGAAGAAGAAGAAGAAGAAGAAGAAGAAGAAGAAGAAGAAGAAGAAGAAGAAGAAGAAGAAGAAGAAGAAGAAGAAGAAGAAGAAGAAGAAGAAGAAGAAGAAGAAGAAGAAGAAGAAGAAGAAGATGATGATGATGATGATGGAGCTTTAGAACTCGAATGGGGTAGTCCTACCTCTTCAAGCTTGAAGGTCTAGCCAAGCTATTTTGATGAAGAACGACACGGTATAGATTTCAAGATGATAAGTGTTTTCTTTTGAAAAAGGGCATCATGTATTTTATAGTGATTTTGGACTATTAAAGAGCAAGGATTAGATATGGGATTTGTTGCATCTTTGGTTTGAGAAATATCTTGATAGTCTTAAAGGGGATTTGGAGCGCTGGAGCTTGGTAATGGCTGTTAGAAACTTTGAACCACTTCATAAAACATGTTTATATTATCAAACTATCCAACAATCCCCCACTAGTTTGAGAATATTAACTCACATATATCAGTTCTATAAATTTATGCATATCTCAAGGTATCTCTTGATTTTAACCTTAAGTTAGTGTTTTAATGTCTCAAAGTTTTAACGAAATATTTGGTGGCCTTAGCTTAAACCAATACTTCTTATATTACAACTAGAGAAATTACACACATAAACTTATTTATTTCCAAAATGAGAAACTTAAAATTCAGCACCATTATGGCCATGTGCTTCATCCTGGTTTCATAAACATTTATAAGAATAAACCAGAAAATCTTATTTAGAAGCGGCACCACTTCAATGTTTATATAGGTGAAGTTTATTTAAATATCTTTTGCTACTATAAGATATATCCTTGCAATATTAACTTCATTAAGAGTGTAAACTCATCCTCCTAATAGTAGCAAATAACACTGTTGTTTGGGTTAATTAATCAATATTATTCAGTCACATAACAACAACTTGTTATTACCCATTAAACCTTAAAATAGTGATGTACTAATGAAGGTTGGGTGTCCATTACTGGTGACTATCAAAAAATGATTTTTGTCCCATTCCTATTGTTGTTGTCCTTATCATGTCTCTATTTAGACCTTTAGTCAAAGGATCAGCCAAGTTTTTACTTGACCTTACATAAACAATAGAAATTACTCCATCTAGAATTAATTCTCGAACATACTCGTGTCTCAAACTTATATATCTCAACTTTCCATTATTAACCTTTTATAGGCTCTAGACATTGTCGCTTCACTATTGCAATACAAAGAAACGGCTGGCATTGGTTGTGGCCACAACTCTATATCTAGCAACATGTTTCTTAACCATTCGGCTTCTTTGCTTGCGTCACCTAGTGCTATAAATTCTGCTTCCATAGTAGAATGTGAAATGCACGTTTGTTTATTTGAAGCCCAAGAAATGGCTCCCCCTCCTAGAGTAAAAATCCATCCAGATGTTGATTTGTTATTACTTACATTTGTAATCCAACTAGCATCGGTATAACCTTCCAATACTGATGGAAAAGTACTGTAAAAAATCCCCAAGTCTTTGGTCCTTTTAAGATACCCCAATATCCTTCCAATAGCTTTCCAATCCTCAATGTTTGGATTATTAGTATATCTCGACAACATACATACTGCAAATGCTATATCCGGCCTAGTGGAACGCATTACATACATTAAGCTTCCTATTACACCAGCATATTCAATTTGCGCAATAGCTCTTCCGGAATTTTCAGCAAGTTTTGAACTAGGGTCGTATGGGGTATTTGCTTATTTAATACCAAGATGAGTATATTTAATAAGCATCTTGTCTATATAATGTGATTGACACAAAGCATAATCATCACTGTGTTTCTTTACTTTAATTCCTAAGATTGTATCTACTTCATGTAGATCTTTCATCTTAAATTTGCAGTAAGATACTTTTTGGTTTCTAATATACCAATCATATTAGTACCAAAGATTAGTAAATCATCAACATAAAGACAAACAATTACACCATATTCCTGAGTGAATTTAGAATAAATACACTTGTCAGCACTATTATGTTTGAATCCACTAAAAAGAATTGTGGAATCAAATTTTTCATGCCATTGTTTTGGTGCTTGTTTCAAACCATAAAGAGATTTTACTAATTTGCAAACCTTATTTTCATTTCCTTGTAAAACAAAGCCTTCGGGTTGTTTCATATATACCTCTTCATCTAGGTCTCCATTTAGGAATGCAGTTTTTACATCCATCTGATGTAGATGGAGGTGATAGATTGACGCAAGTGCCATTAAAACTCGTATTGAAGCTATTCTTGCCACGGGTGCATAAGTATCAAAATAATCGATACCTTCTTTTTGTCTAAATCCTTGAGCTACTAACCGAGCTTTAAAAGATTGAATTATACCATTCGTATTGTATTTCCTTCTAAATACCTAGTTACACCCAATAGGTTTAGATCCTAATGGTAAGTCAACAAGAATCCAAGTTTTATTGGATAATATTGAATCCATTTCGTCATTGATAGCTTTTTTCCAGAATGTAGAATCCCTCGATGACACGGCTTCTGAATATGTTTTTGGATCTTCTTCTGTATTTAATAATATAGGTATTTTTCTATAAACAGAGTTTCTATCACCTTCTATGAGAAAAACAAGAGCTTGAGATGATATAAAGTCAGGACCTATATTCTTTTCTTTCCTTATTCTTTGACTTTTTCTAGGTTCATTTGCAATGTCTGTATTGTTCCTCTTATTGCTAAGTGAACTACTGGAATATATGTTAGAAGAAATAGGCCTTATATTTTCATTTGTTGAATCACTACAAAATTTGGTTTCAAGAAATTCAACATCACGTGATTCAACTATGACTTTGGAGTCCAAATCTAGAAGTCTATAGGCTTTAGAATTTTCTGCATAGCCAACAAAAATGCTTCTCATACCTCTAGGTCCCAATTTCAATCGTTTTGGATCAGGGACTCTATAAAAGGCTAAACACCCCCACACTTTAAAATACTTTAGATTTGGTATTCTTCCATTCCACATTTCATAAGGTGATACATGAGTTTTGTTTGACGTAATTCTATTATGAATATGGCATGCTAAAAGCATAGCCTCTCCCCATAAATTGAGAGGAACTTTAGCATTCAAAATCATCGAATTTGTCATATCCACCAACGTCCTATTTTTCCTTTCAGCCAATCCATTTTGCTGTGGAGTATAGGGTGCAGTTTGTTGATGAATTATTCCATGTTCTTCACAGAAGCTTGAAAATTTGGTGGGAAAATAAACATATCAAAAGCCTCATCTTTTGTTCTAATTAAATATACATACAAATATCTGGAGTAATCATCTATACAGGTTATAAAGTATCTTTTTCCTCTTCTAGTGAGCACTCCATTTAATTCACATATATCAGAATGTACAATATTTAATAATTCAGAATTTCTTTTTGCACTAGGAAAAGGTTTTCTAGTCATCTTTGCTTGAATGCAAATTTCACATTTAAAATTTTTATTTTAGCATAATCTATAAAACCATGTTTAGACATATATTTCAAATAACCAAAATTTAAATGCCCTAAACGTTCATGCCATAAATTATGCGAATCAACAATATAAGCAGAAGGATATATTTTATTAATGCTGAGTTTGAGCATTCTATTACAAGCGTAGCCTTTTCCAACAAAGACTCCACACTTAGACAATATCAAATTATTAGACTCTAGTACAACTTTTATGCCATTTTTGCATAAAAGATTTGCAGATACAAGATTTTTTCTAACCTCTAGAACATAGAAAACATTTATAAGAGCGAGTTTCTTTCCAGAAGTGAAATGAAGTTCAGTTGTTCCTTTTCCCAGAACTTTGGCTGAGTTGTCGTTTCCCATCAAAACTTGTCCTTCATTTGCTGACTCTGTCAGACTCTTGAAATGGCTCTTATCATGGCATACGTGAATTGTAGCGCCGGAATCGAACCACCAGTCAGGAGAAAGAGAGATATTTGTCATATTAATCTCGGCTATTATTCCATTCTGCATTTCTGATATCATGGCCACTAATTCCATTTGCTTTTCTTCCACGATATTTGCAGCATTAGACCATTCGCACCATTAAAACCACCACCAGCATTTTGGTTTTTCAAAAACCTACAATCACGAATGTAATGGCCATTCTTACCACAATGATAACAAGCTTTGGTTTTCTTGTCAAAATTTGAGCCTTTAAAGCCAGATTTCTTGAAGCTTTTCCCTTTATTAATCTTTAGACTACTATGAGTCTGTTTGTTCTTGTTGGTATGATCTATCACATGCACATTGGAATTGATTTGAAAACCATAACGAACACGATTTTCTTCTTCAATTCTTAAATGTTTACCTAGCTTTTCCAAGGAAATCTCTTCTGTCATATGCAAAAGTTTCTTTCTGTAATCATTCCAACTTGGAGGTAATTTAGCAATAATAGCTCCAACTTGAAACGGTTCAGGAATTTTCACGTTCAAATCACTCAACTTATTAACTAGAACATGCAAGTCGTGAATTTGATCAAGAACTGAAAGTGTACAACCCTCTATTCACATCCCTGCAATAACAATAAATAAATTGAATTTATTTGAGATAATGATATCAACTTTTATTCTATCAGTTTATAGTTTTCCTATAGAGAGAATTATAAATAATCATTGTTGCTAATTGATTATTTATCCATGTTTGTTGTATCCTGGAGAGGTATTGCCAGCAATCTATATAGCAAACTCAATTGAGTGGGGGCAAATATCTTCTTAAAATTTGTTAGAAACTTTGAATAGGAACAAAATTTGTCGAACAGCTTTGAGGCGCGGAATATCGCTTTCACTAGCAGTTGCTTCTATTCAAATAGTTGCAACTGTTAAGAATTGTTTCTATTTGAATAGTTGCACCACTTCATAAAACATGTTTATATTATCAAACTATCCAACAATGGTTGATGGCAATGGTGGTTCTCGAACCTCGGTGGTGAGTGCAAGAGAGAGATGAGTAAGGAAAGAGAGAGGTGCAAGAGTTCATATGATTTTATAAGTGTTGGGTGCTAAATACCAACACGCAAGTGCATGTATCGCAAACAAGTAGTAAAGTGGACTCGTGAGAGTCGGATGTCGATCCCACAGGGAATACGCAAATTATTTAATCCTAAGTACCAAATTTTAACAATTACGATTTTTATCCAGCCTACGCAAGTTTGTCAAATTAATCAATTAAACAATTAAACTAATTAAGAAAGCAAATAATCACGAGAAAATATCAATATAAAACGGATCTAGGATTTTATCTTCCCCCTATGCGATAATTCTTCACCCAGTTAATCTTCTATCATGCAAGTTACGATTCCCGATTATTAACCCAAGACACGAAATTACTCATAACCAGCTGTCGCGTGTATTACAAGTCTAATATTCATAAAAGATTTACTATATGTCTATGCAAACCTAGTATGAATAAAGCATTAAATAACAAGTCTCGCAAACGGCTACCTAAGGTATTATCTATATGTCTACGATAATACATGCAATTAACACACTCATCCGGTGAAAACTACTCGAAGGCTCTTCTATCCCTGTTCTAATTATTAAAACGATCTATCAATCAATTCTAACAATAACCAATATCAACTTAAATTAGCTACGTTCATGCGCTAAATAAGATCAAAATAGAAGAAATAATCGAAGAATTAAACTTGCATAAAAGTAGAAAAAGAGGTTCGAATTACCACATAGGGTTCCAACAAAATCCTAGAATAAAAACTTAGCTACTCATGTTCTCTACGAAAATCATAATAATAAAAATATGAAAGTTCATAAAAATCGAGAAATAAAAGTAAAAAGGGAGAACTATGATGAAGATTCGTCAAGTCTTCGTCTTCGTTGCTCCGTTCTCTTGCTCCTAGATTGCGTGTAGAAAATATAAAGATAAAAGATGAAAGATAATTGTGTGCTCCTTGGCCTTAAATATGGTGCAAAATATAATAGGGCGGGTTTCCTTGTGTAATTAAACTTCCTTCACTGCGCCACCTCGTAAACCCGGACGGCCGTGCGAGAATAAGCTCTTAAATCCGGACGGGCGTCCGGTCTTTAATTCTTCAGAGTTTTGATATTTTCACTTTTGGCCCACTTTTTCTCCGAATTTGCAGTTTTTACCCCAAAAGTTGCCAATTCTTCAATTTGCACCTAAAATACAAATAATAACCATTTTAAGCACCAAAAATCGTAAAAACATATCAAAAGCTCCAATTAAAAGGTATAATTAAGTGTATAAATATACTCTTAACACACCCCCAAACTTGAACTTTTGCTTGTCCTCAAGTAAAATCAATTTATGAGCACAAAACACGACTATACATCTCATTTCATAGATCGATTGGTCAACTTCGCATTTTCAGAACTTGCAATTATGATGATAATTCCTAGGTATTCGCAAGCTTAACATTCAACGGCACTTAGTCACTTACTATCACCAAAAACCACAAATCATACAATTGCTTCAAGTATCCAATATTTGCAAGTTAAAGATAGAAATAATTTATACTTACATGCATATATTTGACTCCAAATACTCACCAAATTATTTTACTCAACTAATATTGAGCAGTAAGCTATTGGGATCAGTGGGACTTTGTGGCTTTCAATTGTTAGGCTCTTTGGTCCGAGGTAGGTAATATGGGTATGTGTGGCTATTTTTTCTTGAATTGAGGTGATTACGCCAAAAATTGAAAGATAGGCGTTTGAAACAATGAATTCACCTCTAGGGACTTTAATAAACTTGATTCTCCAAAATTCACACGTCAACACTTAGAAAGATGCACATATATATCTATATCCTTTTTTTTTTTTAATCGAAGAATTAGAAAGATCTTATAAGAATTTTTCGACCGACCTCCAAGGGAAAATTATTCAAAAATCTCCACTTTTTTACCTTCTACATATTGGCTAAAAGAAAGAACACCTTTTCTCCGAGGCTCAAATCAAGGTTCTAAGGATAATTCGACAAAAAGGGTAGGCTTCAAAGGCTCAAACGGTTCAAAGAAGGCCCAAATCATATCCCAAATCACTTACTACCCAACACTTTGTATCATAAATGTCCTAAGGTGAGATTTAAAACCGAACAAAGCATGATTTAGCACAAATAAATTCCAAATTTAAAATATAAAACATTCAACCAAAGCAATGCATAAGGCGTGATTCCTAGCAATAATTCACTTCTACGTTCCGTTGAATCGAAAGCTAAACAAATATCTACTCCTTATCAACATAAAACAAGTAATCTCATCATCAAACATTGACCATCTCCCATCATCATAATTCATCGATGCATCGAAGTTTTTTTTTTTTTTTCCAAAGCAATTAATAAAACGAAAATAATAAAACGGCAACTAAAACAAAAAAAAAACTAAAGCATGCAAATTAACAAACAAGAAAAACATAAATAAGGCGCACATAAAAGAAAACAATAGTTAACCACCCCCAAACTTAAAATTCACATTGCCCTCAATGTGATTCGCCCGGAGTTTAAGGATAGAAAACACCTGTTTAAGCGTCGGGACCATCGCTGGGTTGCTCACCAACTCCACCTCGCGCATGAGCATCACCATCCTCTTCATCATCCGAAAGCTCGGGTACCGGCTCAAGAATCGGTGCGGGCAATGGAGCCGGTTCGGCACACTCGGGAGTGCCGCATGCCAAATGGCGTACAATGGCTTGGAGCATCTTTCCCGACCACCGTTGAAGGGATTCGATTGTGCTCACCTTGTGCTCTACCGTGGCAAGCCGATTTCTAGTGATTACCAATTCTCGTTCCATTCTTCTTTGAAACGGCGGTCCGAACTTGTGCTTGGACCCTCGGGTGGAGCTATTGGTTGGTTATCGACGGGTTGCTTGCCATCTTGGATGGGCGCCTTGTATTGTTGGGCCGCAAGGTTACTCATCGGCTTCCGAATCGGTGTGAGAATATCCGTCATTTTGATTGGGACCTTCGCCTTCTTGCATAGACCGGTAAATAGGCAGGGGAAATAAAACCCTTTGGAGTTGTTGACCATGGAGGTCCAAAATCGGTCGGAGATGATTTCGCCAATATTGATCGGTGTGCCCTTGAGAATGTAATATGCAAGAGCACACCGTTCGGGATCCACGTGAGTCCACGAGCGGGTGGGGATGAGGTTGGCACAAATGAACGTAAGGCACGCCTTGCCTATTTGGTGGATGCATTTCCACTCCAACTCGTATTCCTCTTCGGTTGAAAGGTCGGACCAAATTGGTGGGCCATCGCACAACACCTCGCCTAGTATCACTCTTGTGACCGCAAGTTGCATTTGCTCCCAATTGAATGGCTCATGTCGGAGGTGATAAAATGAGTTGATGGCCTGGGCACACCAATCGACCCGCTTTCCTCGAACCGTGCTCGACTTCCAATCCGTTGTTAGGAGGATACGGGTGTTGGCGTAGAACTCGCGGACCCACGATAAGTTGATCGACCCCTCCGGTTCCAATAATGCTTGCCACCCTCGTCGTATGAATTCTTGTTGTAACGGGGAAAATTGTGGAAGGGTGATCTCATATGCACGCTCCGTCACTAGTTTCTTCACTTTTTGCTTCTCAAAACGAGTTTTGGCGCCTTCGACACAAAAAGCATCGTCGTCGGGTGTTGGAATTTGATCGGCTTTCTTGCCCTTCCCCTTGCCTTTTCAAGTGCCTTCGCCTTGTAAGGTGCCCTCCCCATCACGTCCTCATTTCCCCATGATGCGAGAATGCTTGTGGAAGGGATTTGAAGTGAATTGGTGTGCAAAATTTCCCCCAAACTTGACTTGGGAAATTCGTCGAACACCTTGTGGGCGTTCTTGGGGGAATGGGTTTGTGGAGAAATTTGCACCTTTCTTGAAGCCTCTCTGCACAAATCACCAACAAGCAACAATGTTTGAGTGTTATGTGTGTGTAGTTGGTGGAACTTAGGCGAATTTGTTCAAAGAAAATCAAAAATTTTGAAAAGAGGGGGTTAGGGTTCGAATTAGGAGAGAAACAGGAATTAGAATTGTGAGAATT